CCTATACACAATTGTTAGGTAAAATTATTTTAGAAGGTGGTATCCAGAGATACAATTAGGCCCAAATTATATAAATCAGGCCAAATGTGTAGATCTTGAACATGCCAAAACAAGGCTCTCTCCGAACATTAGGATTCACTCATCCCATTAAAAATGAGGGGCTTTCACAACCTTTGAAAAGAGATTTCACGTGCTCACATTTCTTTTGTGCAGAAGGATTCTCGTAAGAGGCTCAGTTCAGGAATCCATTCAAACATGTCAATAACTGTAAGCTTGTGAGTCATTTCAGTGAGACCAAAGGGACTAGACAGTGCTGAATTACCCATGGGTTTACTCACCTCACTGAAACCAGGTCACTTTAATGTGGCTTTGAGAGCCACCCACAACTGAGGTTCCTATAAGACCATGGCATTTTGTTCAAAGGCATTGTGCTATTATGGGATTGTAGGAAATGAATTTCACTCTGCCACTCCCATGGGTTGGGCTGGGTTGTTTTGCCCATTACACCCACTCCATCGGCCCTTAAATCATCCTTCCTCTAGATATAAGGCTAAACACACGCATGCACACCTCAGTCTGCAGCTAAATTTATATGAAACTCTGTTTTCTTTAAGTTATTCTTATCTTCCAGAAGAAATAAATCACTTGGAAACTTAGACATTGAAGAGCAAGGGAATATCCAGCAGGCCAATCTGGTTTTGCTCACAAATGTAGATCATCGTTCTACTAAAGTTAAAAGTTGCAATTATAATCCCCAGCCATTGAGTATTTGTGCTACTCTATAAAAGATTTTGGGTATATTCCGCATACTGTGGTGATTTTTTCCTATGTGCAATTAAAAGCATTAAAAATGTTTCAGAGTGTATCTAGAACGGGGTAAGACAATTACCAGAATGATTAATTTGAATGTTCATGTTTGCAGTTCATTCACTGCAGCCATACTGATTTCAAAATAGCAACACTTACCAAGAAAAAAATCACAACTATCATGGAAAATACCTAATTTAATGATATAGTGCAAGGAGAAGCAATTTTCAGGAATACAAAATCTTCTTAGTGTCTTAGTTCTCAGGATTTACATTAAATCTGAAAGTTTCAATAACATCTCACCCTGGAAGTGTTATCATGTTGCAGATAAAATTCCATGGTAACTTGTACTAAGGACAAAATATTTGTTCACCAATTAATTATGTCCTTGGCAAGGATATTTACAAATACATACACTAAAATTTTCTGAGGGTCTTCTGCACGCGTACACGTGAGCTTGAAGCTTTATGGATGCATACAAAGCCTATCTCATGTTTACATATTAGTGGAATAATATCCTGCAGCTTGATCGAGCTTCTGTTGTTTGATTGCTCGGTGGTCTTTCCTGCTCGTCCTTTGAAGTTTCATTGCTGGAGAGATTAGCTATACAGGAGACAGCAATACACCTGGACATGTGAAGCTTTATTGTGGCTATAAAATATTCACAGGGATAGATTAAAGAAACCCAACAACCAGAGCAAGCAGGACCAAGAATCATTCTCAAATGGCACACGCAGAAGCTCCAGTGGCTTCCCTGTGAGCTTTAAGGGAGATGGTGATGTTCATATCAAGCCCAGTACCTTGTGATGTCCTCCTTGGGCTTCCTTCAGACAAAATGAGCCACAGTGCTTGTCTGCATTGCCATGGCCATCTTGGTAATCCTCTGTAAGGCAAAAAGAAAAAAAAACCACAAAACCAACAAACCAAACATAAATTATTTTTATATTTGTGCTCAAGGTAAACCGCTGGCAAAAAGCAGCTGGGCTTTGGTCTCTCTCCCAACAAGATGCTGACTGACTTCAGGCTGATCATTTTTCCCCCTCCATTTGAGTTATAAATAGGTGGTTATTTCTCTCCTACATTCTGAAAGTGTTAGTATGATATTGCAGAAAAGACCTCAGATGCTGTGGTGTTGGAAATAACAATTGCATAGATGAAAAATGAGGAGAAAATAGAAATAAAGAAATAATAGACACAAGAAGAATGACGTGGGAGGGTATTTTAAATGCCCCAGGAAGTGTTCTTGAGAAGACAGGAGGAGGTTAATTTTCTTATATGGGCATAGTTGTGGATCAAGAATGAGGCACAGGGGCACGAAATACTCGAATAAACTTTACTTAGAAAACACAAGTCACGTGTCCCTCAAGCTCCTGAAAAGCAGTGACCTGTGGAATGATCAAAAATGCACTCCCATATCATGGTAAGCAGTGGTGTGGCAAAAATAAAGGTCTGTATTATACATTTTAATGTATGGCACATAGAGAATAAGCCAAAAAACACACTTAACAAGTATTTAAATTTTTTTCTTTTTAAGTTATTTCGATTTCCATGCAGTAAAAGACAGTCAAGTGTATTTAAAATCACAGTACAGGAAGGATCTGCTCTTAGTTGTTACAGTGGTTGATACACAATACACGCACATACAATGTCACAATTTTCAGCCCATGTTTGTGTACACACCTATGGATATATTTCTTACTTTCTGCATATATATACACACATGTACAGACGTATGTATGGTGAGCACTCATAGTGAATGAGGAATTTACAGACATTTACATCATCAGGGGTGAAAAAGGAGATCTACTGAAATCAGCAAAACAGCACAAAAATACAGCTGCTGGGTATGTCACATGTGTGCACACATGCAGTAGAACCTGTTCAAAATGTCTCTATGTATTTTATATAAGGGATACATGTATGGACCCATAAATGCACATTAAAATATAAATATACCTTTGTAAAGATGGTCCCTGTGATTTTCTTTGTTTAATTTTTCTTCTGCCTTTTTTTTTCCCCAGTACACAAAAATGGGTTTCCAAACAGCCTTGCTGAAATGATGAATACTTTAACAATGTTTTTGGAGTCAAATGAATAAAGGAGTAATTATCTTGGCCAAAAAAAAAAAATGAGACAATAAAAAGAATAAAGAAAACAATAATATTCTACATTTAAGAAATGGGAGGGAGAAGGAACTCAAGTCTGTTATTTAATCGTGGAATGCTCTTTTTATATTTTATTTGTAAGGCTCTGAATGCTCTTTTCTTTCTATACCAGTGAGCTCATTACTTTAATTCCTCATAGATTTCTCTGAACAATTTTTGCTAAGTAAAAACACAATGTAATTCTTCAATGGCTGTAACAGTAAGAAGCTGCTCAAATTAAAGATCAATAAAAAGTACAGAAAAAATCTGTATGAAAATAAATAAATAAAAAAGGAGATGGAAATGCCTGCAATTAGACAGGATGAAAAATCTAAAAAGAAATTAAATTTACTTGTAATACATTTCCCATTCTTTTCTTCATGAAAATTACTACTGAAGTGGTTTTTTTTTTCTGTAATTTAAATGTTAAGCTGCCAGATGTGTGTCTCATGCTTGAAGAGTTGAAGCTTTGCATTATTTAGCATATTAAGATTCACAGAATTTAAAAAAGGGCTCCTTTATTGCCTGGAGGTTCTAATTAAGTAAACCTTAGCCTGGTACATTTAAAACTTGCAATACAAGAGATTTTTACTTCCTTTTTTTTTCTTGGTAGCCAAATCTCATCAATATAATAAATATGGAAAATACTTAAGATGATACAATTTTTCTTTGGCTTGAGGAATTAAACCTATCTATTATTTTAAGAAGTTTTTAATAGAGGCCAGCAATCAGAAAGACATTTAAAGACTCCAGTCTACTTTTTAATCATAGGAGTTGCTCCTACTTAGTGGTTGTGGGGGAGGGAATGTGTCTTATAAAACTGGGCTCTGTAGAAATTGTTTCTTCCGCATGCAAAAAACAAAGCAGTTCTGAAAGAGAAACAAGAACCACACAGTTCTTTATTATTAAATTGCATTTTACTTTTTTATAACTTTTTATAATTAACCACAGAAAACTAATAAAGCATTAATTAGCTATACTATCAGCAATTTGTTCATTGAAGGAGTTGGGATTGCTGCATCAGAAACTGTAATAGCATAGAAATTCCTTTGACATAGAGTACCTATAAATCATATCTTAAATACAGTTATTTTTCCCATTTTAGAAAATGTCAAAGGTGTCAACTTTGTCCAGATATAACACTTAGCAGTGAGTATTTTAGTAAATTGACTCAAAATACATTTTGTTCCCTGACGGGAAACATAATATCATTCATGATAAAAATGAACAATTTGAGGAGGAGAAAACAGCACTAAGAAAGAATGATCAAAGACAGGTATCATAGCTGTGACAACGGCACAGTGGCAGATGTAAATTCTCTGTTAATAGGTTTATTTGGAAGTCAAGAAACATATCCATAAAAGCAGGAAAATATGATTACACCAGAGCATGGAAAAGACAATAAGATTCCTAATCCAAAGTTATGAATCTGTGATCAGCTATTAATAAGTCCAACAGAATAATTTAAATGTCTACATTCATATAAGACAAATAGGAAAAATAGGGTGGCTTTTTTTCCCACCACTGTGGACTGGGTGTGACAATACTAATGTCTGGATTTGGAAAATCACGGTGATATGAAGGTTATTTGCAGACCTTGACAATGGTGAGAGCAGTCATTTCTGGGTCATGTTAAGTCCCAGCCATTAGATACCACACAGGACCATGCCAATAAGGGATGCAAAGAAAGGGTTACCCACACAAAATCTTTGAGCTCTGCTGGGACCTAAGTTTTTTACATACCATGGAAAGAGGTTGGAAACAAAAACATTACTGCTACTGTGTTACCTTTCTCCACATCAGCCTTCTTAAGGCAACAGCCGAGCACAATAGCATGACCTTTAAAATCACTCTTTATAGGGTGCCTTACTGCTTCCTAACCCTCGCAGAATAAAACTTAATAATTTTTTACCCTCTGCATTCAGTCTGGAATTTATCATCTTTGGTTGTGTCTTAACAAGTACTGTGGTGCAACAGGAGTGAACCTGTAGAACTAAACCAAGGGTTCTGGGGACACCCCTGGACAGTGGGGACCCCATGGTGTGCTGAAGATTTCATGTTAGACCAGCTTTTTAGTGTGGTCCTGGTAACTGATGGCCCATTAATACCCAATACACACATCTAAAGTACATCCCTCTGCTCAGCTTCACCCTAAACACATACAGAGCTGATACTGTGAAATATTTATTATTTATGTATGGGGGGGCATGAGGAGTCTAAAGGATTTTTTTTTTTTAAACATAGGCAAAAAGAAATAGCACAGCAAGGAAATTACCTTAACACAAGTTTGATGGGAACTACTTCTGATTTATATAGGGCTGAAGAAGAGAAGGAAAGTGCAATCCCTTCTGATAGCTGCAACCTCTCTTTAAGTCAGTAACAAAGAGTTTTAGAGTGGTGCAATCCAAGATGAAGATCCTACTTAGACTCCACTCCTAGGAATGCACTCGTCTATGGGAAATCAAATAACATGGCAAGAGCTGGAAAATTGAAGAGTGTGGATTGTGCGGATTTCGGAACCATAAGCAGGAGCTGAATTTGATCCTAACTGGAAAAATCAATGCAATCAAATTTATGCAGTCCTGCTCAGAGAAGGAAAAGACCAGCAGAGAAAGAAGTTTCAGCCATATGAGGCTCTGCCCCTGGGGCCCTACCTGTATTAAAAAATGAGGCATAAGCAATCTTCATTTTAAAATACCTCTTTGTTTCCTTTAAAGTGGCATTCATGAGGAATTTCTAACGAGAACAGCTTTTTTGGTTTGGTTTTTTTTGTTGTTGGTTTTGTTTGTTTGTTTGTTTTTGGTTTAGGTAATTATTTTTGCATCTGCATACAGATTTTATGTAGAAGCAAACAGCACCTCAGTAGGGAAGGAATAGCATTGCAGTATAAGGAGAAATATTACAATGAAGGTTCACTGGTTTCCATAAAATTGTTTCTGAAATGCTTGTGAGAAATACAATCTCTCAACAAAACTATTTCTTACTTATATAATCACATTTTAACAAATGTAAAGCTTCCTCTCCAAAGGCAATGATAAAATGAGAATGAAGTTGTTTTTGTGTCTGGTATTTTGATATGGAAGGAAAATCTTAATAAATTCTGGATACAGTTCTGAGTGTTATCTGCTGCTACTGTAATAAGCCCCTTGGTTAGCCTGATGCCATCTTTGCTTAGATGTTATTCTGAAACTTTGCTCTGACAGAAATGCCTTTTGATGTCACAAAAGGACACAATTCACTTCCCAATGTTGCTCCAAAAAGGCAGGAAGGGTATTGAATTTGAAATCTTAAATATGAATAATATTGAACATCTTATTTTCAATACTCGTTTTATTTTAGAAGACAGACATGAAGCAAAAGATTCCTTCTGATGTAGAAGATCTGAAAATAGGAGCTAAAACTTTATCCTGGGTATGCCCTAGAAAGGTGATAGAATAGAGAGCTGAAGGAATCACAAAAGTTCTGTCAAACCCAAAAAATGAGCAGAAAGCCAGTTGCTTGTAACAGTTTGACTAACAATATTTATAAGAAATATTTAATGCGTTTTCAGGGGTTTTACTTCTGGTATGTGCATAACTGGGGGCTTTGAAACAAGAATTTAGGCTTCATATGAGAGAAAGGCTGGGGATAAGGTGCCTGCTGGGATGAGCATTGATGGAGAAAAAAATTCAGGCACTGTTGAAGCTTCAAATTAAACATCAGGTACAGTATAAATCCTAGTTTATATGTCATCCTGCAGAAAGTATCTGGGGATTTCAAAATGAAAGTTTTTTTCTCTCCACCGTTCTGAGTGCAGATAATGAGTTTAGTGGTGACATTACCGACAGTGTTCCATCACAGAAAAATCTATGCTTTAGTGATGTGACTTTTGAAACAAGTTTTTCATTACAATAATATGCAATAGATGCAGAATCAGAAACTGAGCTCGTCAAGGAAAATTTATGTTGTCTCATGAATTAAGATAAGCAAAAACTTTTTTCACCTAATTCAAAATCCATGGATATTTTGGAGAGCATCTTACCTGCTTATAGTTCAGATAAACTCAGAATTTTTTTTTTTTTTTTTTTTTTAGTCCTCAGTCAATTATAGCATTATCTCTTGAATATACCTAGTCAGATATGATGATGATGCAAAATAATGCCCTTTGAAACTTGCTTTTATAAAGGTTGTGGTAATTCAGTACCTCTCCAAATCAGGCCACTTCTGTAACTGCATTGCTTCAGGGTATTTGTAAGAGGATGTCTTGAACTCAAAATGTGGGTTCTAAAATGCTGTGTTTGCCACTGGGTCTCTGCCAAACTCCACATAAATATTTTGAATAAAAATTCAAAGTGCTAGTTTTAGATCTAGATAAACATTAGTGTTGAGAAGAGGGGAGAAGGAATACCTGTCTACCTGCACAACTAATAATTGGGTTTTGAGACACACTCTAAAGGTGGAAAAATCAAAATGTTGGCAAGGAAATCAGAAAAAAAATAAAACAGACAAAAACAAATGTCAAACACCATTAAACATTATTTTAAAACCTTTTTGTTCATATAGGTAACTTATGTTTTTACTATTTTAAACTGCTTTGCACAACCACTCTTGGGCAAATGAACAAAGCAAATTTCAAAGTAGATTCTACTAATGTAGAGGTTGAAGAAATTTTCTGAGTTAGGGCTCTTTATATTCTTAGAATAACCAACATCTAGAAAAGACTTGTTAGGTGTTGATCTTATCAGAACATGTAATGAGAATACTTGAAAGACTGAAATATTTTTATTACTTTTTTCTGTAATATGCTTAACATTTTGTCAGAAACATCTTTTTAACAAAAAATGATACCAGCTCTGTATTCTACTGCTCACTTATCTATG